GTTAATTGTTTCTTGAGATATGTGTGGAACATTTGGAAAACAAAAGTGGCTAATGTGAATTTCCTAGATGTGATGATTGGTTATTCAGATATCTGCAATACGTATATACACACATATATATATTATACAGATAGACAGACAGACAGACATGGTAATCAAAAAGACTCCTGTTGAGTGCTTTGCACAGAGTGGTAGAATATTCCAATGAATTTGAGAGAAAAAAATCATGATTATATTTAAAGTCATTATTGTAAACCAGAGGAACCAATGCAGCAGATTTTTAATTTGCAAACATTAAGAAAGTTAATTAGTAACATCATTCTATGTTTTGCGGCAGTGACTAAAAGTGGTTAAACATTCCTGCAATATTTCCAGCTGCAAGCAAAATTGTTTAGCATTTTGCAAGCCTATCAAGACTTCAAGATTGTTTTGCTTGTTACAAGGAAAAATATGTTTCGTAAATGACTTGTAAAATATGAATGAAAAGAGTAAATAAAACAAAATAACAAAATTAATTTACATCTTTTTGACACCAAGCTCAGGTTAATCTATACAAAAATTACATTAGTCACATCAATGCAAACGAACAATTTCATTGGAATTGAGTCGCTAGCATCCATCTAACCATAATCTGGTTTTAACAAAATCACAGATGAATTAAATAGCAGGAAAGATCTTGATCTGAATCGTGGATAACACTAGAAAGGAGGGTAGATCTTTAAACTGCATCCAGTGCCATTCCAGTGTGCCTAGCTTACTCTCACTAAACTGCATCCGGTGCGATCCAGTGTATCCAGCTTACTCTCACTAAACTGCATCCGGTGCGATCCATTGTCTCCAGCCTATTCACACTAAACTGCAAAAGGTGTTATCCAGCCTACTCTCACTAAACTGCATCCGGTGCCAACCAGTGTATTTAGCATACTCTCACTCTCAGGTGCCACTGTTTTCACTAATCTAAAATAATTTGAAGAATTTCTATGACTTCAACACCCAGTGTCTATGTCATCCAGTGTTGGTATTGCCTTGACCACATGAATTGCCAAAGACTCATTACATTCTGTGATGAATGAAAATGACCCAACCATATAAGGTAAAATGACTCATACATAATTACCATATAAAAATAACGGCTTGTAAAATAACATAACAAGTTGAAAATATTTGAAGACTCAATTAAAACTTACGCAAAGTATTTTTTTATCTTTATCTGTTTTTTTATAAAAAAAAAATTCTTCAGTCAAATTTCTATGACACAGGCACCGGCTTTGGTTTCCGGCGATGACTGTTTGCTAATTCTTCACTAAAATATGCAATAGTTTGATTGATGCCAACTGACAATGGGACCTGCAAAAAAACAAAATTATCTATACACTTATTGCATGCGCAGGCTTATGTATGAATGACATGCTTCTCAGAACACTAACTATATTTCTAATATTAGAAGTGAATGTTCATATAAATAGATCTCACACACTACATGTACAATTGTAAAGGCCATATTCCGAACTGAAAGACTGTTGGAAAGCAATTCAGTTGCATATTGTATGTCTTAAATAATAATGGTTAATGACCACATCAGCCCACCAAATTCCATATGCGTTTTCTCATAAATTATAACGGTTAATGACATCCAACAAAATTCCATATGTGGATTAAACAGCAATGCTCTAAAGCAAAAGAATAATTCCAAATTTAAAATTGTAAATACTGAATCCATGCAGTAAATAAACATCATAAAAATAAATGAAGCAATGCATACTATTTTTTTTTTACATGATGCCATACTTGCTTTCTAAAGCCACAGTGTCTAGCATCTTGACAGCAAAAAACATCAATGCCATAGTTACAGGTACTAACACGGAGTATCGACAGAGGTACATTACTTGGGGTTTGCAACGCGCATAGTACTGTATGGTGACATCATGCCAAGATCCCATTCAAGTCTCATCTCGTTGATAGCAAGACTGATGCTACAACCTTCTGACATGACATAGGCAGTTTGTAATAAAACAATAAAACATGTATTACCACATTCATAGTGAAAAAATGTAATACATCGAAAATGTACAGAAAATATAGTTATCGTAATCTGTCATATCGTGAGCAGCTATTTTGATTCACCTGGACATCCCAGTATCCTAGTTACCTCGGGCATGTGCATTCGCATTTTTCTGAGTTGGAACGCTTATGCGAGAGCGAGATTGAAACGGGATCTTGGTATCATGTCATCGTAGTTGCAAACCCCAAGTAATGTACCTCTGGTATCGATAATTGACTGCGATAATTTTTACCACCTAAATGTTGGTGCAACATTTTGTCTAATTTTTGGTATTTTCTCTGTTTTTGATAATTTTGAACCAAATGAACATAATTTCATAACAGCTACAAATCATGATCAAAATTTTTGAAAAAAATAAGGTTTTATTTTGTGGAAGGTGACAAAAAGTCATCTTTGATGCTCAAACGATCAGGAGATAATTCTTACCTGTGGCTCCCAATTAAGAAGTTTTTTAGCTTTACGTATATCAGGCTTTCTTCTCTGTGGGTCATCTTCAGTCGCTGCTACATGAGTTATTGGACTTTTTGTGTTAGCTGATTATAAACAACACAAAAGTAAATCAATACAATGTTTGCGAATTGTCATGACAACATAATACAAAAAAAAGCACTGCAAAGTCATCACTGAACTGTGAAGGTCATTTAAAACTAGGCAAACTATATACACTAATACAGAAACCATAGCAGAAAAAAATTATTACTTGTACTTACAAACTGTAGCTTTTATGATCTCTGCAAATTCCTGAATGGTATGTTCTTCTGGATTCCCCTAAAATGTGATTAAACAGTGAACATACTGGTATCATTCCCCGTGAACAAATTTTTTTCCTCTTAATACAAAGTAAATCTATTTGCAGTTTTATGCATATTAATCAATTATTTTACATAAAATTAGCATAATGTACATGTTTTTTGTTGTGTTACTTCCATATCTGAGGATTCTGTGAATATCTGTGGTGGGTTTGGTGAGCCTCATATCTGTTTCCAATAGAGAGTAGAAGTTCACCCCCCCCCCCCCCCCCACCACCACCACCACCACCACCACCAACACCACCATAAACTATTATATATAAAAGTACATGTATGTGCACAAGTATGTTTCTTGGGATCTCAGAAAAATGTTTCCTGGAAATAAATTAGTCTTAATGAAATTTTGTTTAGGTCACTCTTAAAATTATAAAAATGGCACACATTTCTAGCAGCAGTAAAATGGAATCATTTGTATATGTGAGTTGATTTCCATTATTGAATTCCAAAACTAATGTATTTTCATTGCAAGCAATGTGCACCACTTGCATTACAATGGGGCAAGACAAACAAATGCTTCTTAAAAAACAGCATTTTGAAAAGTGACAAATTTATCAATCCTTTTTGGTATGAAATCTGACATAGATGCCGGGAGACTGCTAGTATCTTTGTTTACTAAAGGTGCTTTGCCCCCATGTGACCTACACTCATAGACGTGACCGCCTGTAAAAATGTATATGCTCACCAATGAAGCATAAATAATTTTGATTATAACCATTATAAATCGGCGAGAATAATATCTAGACTCACCAAATGAAAAACAAGTCTAAGTTACTTGCTCCTAGTCTGAAACTTTTTACAAAAGTGAATAGACTGATTAGACAAATTTCTTACCAAATTTACTGGCGACGAGACATTACTATTCATCAAGGAAATCAAACCATCTACCAAATCACTGCAAATATAAAGATTATTATTAATCAAATTATACTTACAACTTATGTACATAGATTGTAATAGTAGAAAATTCAATTGCATAATATCCATTTTATGTGGATTTTTTAGTATTGATATGCCCAACTTTGAAGTCGCTTAGAAAGATTGAAAAAATCTGCAAGCAATTGAAATTCAAGCTAACCTACATTGGGTGTCATATGGGTGGTAATATTGCACAATATCCATTTTATGTGGATTTGTTAGTATTGATATGCCCTACTTCGAGGTTGCTAAGAAACATTTTATCCATTTTATGTGGACTGTTTGGTATTGATATACCCTACTGCAAAGTCGCTTAGCAAGTTTGATAAAATCTGCAAGCAATATTATGCAAGCAGTATTTCGCAGTGACTCATAAAATGCGAAAAACTATCTAAAACAATTAATTTAAGATACAAAAAAGTGATTTATTCTTTGCTTCGGGAGTTGCCTAAGGGAAATTTGCATATTTTTATTCACAGGTTATTGGTTGGTATTTTGAGTTGATTCATTTTGTTTCTATAAAGCTTGAAATAAAGAATGAAAATTATTTTTGTATTTTGTATACTTTAATTCACAATATCTTCTATTCACGGTTTAATCATAATTAATAACTATCAATTTATGTATTTTTGAGGACTGGACAATTGTATCCAAGAAATTTCCCTAATTGTCATCATGCAAAGTTAATCTATTCAATCAGACATCAAAGAAGTACCAGGGAATATTTCACACATTGTATGCCATGAAAACTGGCTTCTGACTTTTTTATCTGCAGAACAATATATATATATATATATATACATGTATATATATATATATATATATATATATATATACATATACATATACATATCTTTGTGCTACCTGAATGGGAAGGTGTCTAAATGAGTATTATTATATATCTATTACTGTAAGTTTTGGCGTTTTCAAAATGCAATAAAGTATTTTTCAATAACTATGCAACAACTTCATCTCATAGGCAGATCAACATAAACACACACAAACAAATTTTTTCATTCTAAAATATATATTTGTATTCAAAATAGAAGACAAAAAATGATAGACAAGTTATCTCCCAGTGATGGTTAAAGCAGGGGAGTCGTCACCTGCGAATGGGGCAAACGGCCATAGCATGTAGTGACGATCCCTCCGTTTTAAAAAAAGATGCGTACATATATGCTTATTAACAATATACTAGGATGTATTTCCTCATGTACTTCAGTATTTTGTTCATTTGTCATAGATTACGTTCACTTCTACTGGAGATGTGTTTAGTTCCATGATTCCACTCAGTTTCTAAGATTAATTATATATTGTTTGCCATTGGGTTAAAGTCCTTCGTAGTCATGTAGCACATGTTCAAATTTTTCACAAAAGTATTTTACACGGGACAACTAGGCATGACACCTAGCACTCTAACCATTTGTTCTATAATTAAATCAGCCTGTTAGTTAGACCTTTGATGATGGTAATGTACATAACGCTTACAAGCATTATTTTTTGTGAAAATTAGTGAAATCAGGATTATAATTTGTCACAGCTTCTAAGTGTTGATGAAATTTGGCAGTCCCTCCACCAAGAGCACCTTGACATACCTTGATCATTATCGTTTATGAGATTATTTTATTCATTTTCAACATCGATGACAAGAATTTTCTAGATGTTATAGTTTTCAACACCTTTCCATATCTTGCTTGTGATATCAAAATCAAAATATTGTAGAATTTTTTCAAATCAAAATTTACCTCTCTTATTTCAGCTGCTTACATAATAATTGTGTTTACTGGGCTTCAACTAAGAATAAAATAAGTTCAGCCAGATTAGCTATTAAATGCAACATTATTTTTCCCTGTGCTATTTCAAACTTGTTCAGCTAATTTACAAATGTAGAGAAATGAAAAGTCACAAATTTGACAGAAAATTGATAAAATGTGCATACACTTTATATAAAGCAATATGTTTTTTCTGATGTTTAATTTATATTTTACTTTGGTAATGACATGTTTTATAAATGATAACAGAATAATTCAAGGTTTAAAATCCCACAATTGGGGATGTAAGTGACACATTTTATTATATCGCCATTGGCAACTTGCAAAGATTTAGCGGAATGTTCAATAATGCATTCAAATTTATTAAGCATGTTACTAAACCATAGAGTAGGATATCAAAGCAATATCCATAAAGTGAATGCTATATCACAAATTATTCTATCCCATTTAAACATCAATGTAACGTTCTTATAAATATGAGATGACAAAACAGCTTGCAGTACCATGATGTAAAGGTCACTGAACTTTAATATCATAACACTGTATAATACTTGGAATGCAACACCATATGAATCCCAAGTATAACATTATTGCCATATGGTACATGGTTACCATGGCAATATATGATAATCCACAAAATTACCACTGAACCGAGTAAACAAGTCAATTCAAGCGCCCCCTTGAAGTACTGAATAATAATTAAAACTTTTTTTTTTACCATTTACAACTCAGGTCAAATTAATCAAGTAAGAAAGCAAAATAATATTAGCACACCAGAAATTAGCGCTCTTTCTAATGAAAGCTTTTAAGTACATCAAATGTATTTCCATTTTAACCCCCCCCCCCATGCTAACAATATCCTGCCTGGGGAGAACGTGAATGAATGATAGAATGAATGAATGAAGTTTATTTCACTATAAACATATATACATATAACAATATTTAAATAAATGTGATATATAAACAATGAGTAAATAAAATTAAGTAAATAAGTCTATAATTTGAATTTTTTATAATTGAAAGAACTGTTGTGTGCTGGATGCAAAGAATGAAGGAACAAGACAAATATTTGAAATTTACAATTAGCTCGTTAAACAAGAAAACATAATTATAACAAAAGAACTAAAGTTGATGGTACATCAGTGATAAAAAAATTATTAATTATTATGCAAATTAGCAAGTGAAAAAAAAATCCTTTGTTAGCTGTGTACGGTAGGAATCTACACAGAAATGAAAATACCAGAATTTATTCTTTTTGTAGTAATTTATATTCTCGGGCAATATAAAGATATTGACTTTGAAAAAGTTAGGGGTAACCAGTGGATAGTGACCTTTTGTCAGTATCATATAATGCTTTTATCATAGTTTCTTATGGCAGAGATATTATGCCATACTTGTAGGCTGGTGACATGTGTAAGAATAATATATTGTTGAATTATTTAAAAAAAAGGATGTTAAAAAAGTGTCAAAAAGTTGTTCTAATAATAGTATTATTGAAAATATTAGGACAAGTTTCTCAAAATACATCACTGTAACACACAAAATAATGTTACTTCATGGTGCCCTAGGACATTACATGTAGCTCCATGATTTTACATAATAAACCAATTAACATACGATATATGAACAATTTTCACAAAAATTTATGAGTACAGCAAAATCTGTATTAGAAGCCGCATCCCTAATAATTGAATAATTGAGAACTAAAAATTCATCATTTCTCATATATGTAGGTGCTCTAATAGAAGCCACATCCTCTCTATTGCATTGTACCATTTTAATAGAAGCCGCGGTTTCTAATACAGATTTTACAGTCGGCTTCTACTTCAATATGTATGATGACAAGATTACTTATTGTTTACCCACCTGACATATTGAAATGAGCGTGTCTGTGTACCTGTTCCAAATATAGTGATTGGTTCATTCTGTAAAGCTTGGAGTATGAAATTACTAACAACGCGGCCATCATTCATGTGCATTCGGGGACCAAACGTGTTGAAGATCCTGGCAACTCTCACTTCGACATTTTCCTGTTGAAAACAACGAATAATATTAACAAACATGGAATTTAATGTTCAGTGGCTTATTTTTGCAACTTTGGAAAAAAAAAAAACTTATTTTATTATAATATTGTACCATATTGTATACAAAGATGCACAGAGGGAAAACAGAAAAGTATGCACCTGGGCAGTATTGGATCACATGGCCCTACATGTACATGTAAGGCGATGTATATATTTTATAATATAAAATATATTTTATGGAAATCAATGAGGATAAAAAAAACAATTTCAACTAATTAGAAAGCAACATTACCTGTTTATGATATGCATAACACATAGCCTCAGCAATTCTCTTGCCCTCATCGTAACATGCCCTAGGACCAATGGGATTAACATGGCCCCAATAATCCTCATTCTGCGGATGTACCTCAGGATCTATAAAAGTGAGTACCAATGTCCTAACTGATCCACAACATTATATTACAGTGGGGTTCAATATGTTTATTGTTTGTGATCATTCCAAGCATTTTCAAATTACTGTTCTTTAA